AGATAGATAGATAGATAGATAGATAGATAGATAGATAGATAGATAGATATTCATCTTCAGAAGCTAGCATATAAAATTTTAAGGCAACATTTACTGCTTTCAACACATGTAGAATAACTTTTTGTAGTTATTTTGTAATAATAAATTAGTCTTATGTAACTCATACCCACCTGTATTAATTGTTTGCATTTCTCTAGATTTTCCAGTTTAATAATCTGATTTTTATCCAGAATCAATGTGTGAACATCAGCTTCACAGGGCAAGTTGGGACCTAATTTCTGTAGTCCCTGCCCTGACCAGTTCACCACTGATCCTTAAAAAAGAGAAGACAACTTGTTAGAATGCAAACACGACAGCTGAGCTTAGCATTTTACACTGAGAAAAAATATGCATACATATTTAAAAATACACCAATACACAATAAGTATAAGAATTTAAAATGGGCCAGTTGTAGTGGCACACGCCGGTAGGATTTGCTGAAGGAGGCAGAGGCAGGAGGATCACGATTTTGAGACCAGCCTGAGCTACACATTTTAAAAAAGACAAAAAAAAAAAAAAGAAGAAGAAGAATTTAAAATGATAGCAATCTAGAGCTGTAACGATACATGTTTCCTCAGAATTTACAAGTTACAGGCTGGGGTATAGCACAGAGGAAAAGCCTTTGCCTGGCATGCAAGGCCCTGAGGTTCCCTATTTTATACCTAATAAAAGTATTTTAAAACTAGGGCTTAAGTTTCTTTTTTGAGTTTTTCGGTTTTGTTTACCTGGGTTTTAATTTTTTATGTATTTTATTTTTCCCTTTCTTACCCTTCAAACTTCTTCTTTGTTTTGGGTTGTTTTTCTTTTGCTGTTGTTTTATTTTGTTTGATTTGAGACAGGGTCTGAAGCTAACCAGGTTAGCATAAACTCTATGTGTCTGAGGTTGGATCTGAACTCTTGATGAGTCCTCCACTTCCCAAGTGCTGGGATTATAGCTATCACCACATCAGACCCTAGAACTGAATTTTTTTTTATAGAGATCCAACTCTTTATAACTACAAGTATATCTTCAAGTGCCCAAAGTAGTGTGTGACAGGAGAGAGGTTGGGGGGGCGGGGGGGGGGTGCACATCATGCATGCCCAAGAAGACCTGAAGAAAATGCTGGTATCCTGCTCCGTCACTCTTTTTATTCTCTTGATGAACACTCTCTCACTGAACCTGGACTTAGAGCTAGACTGCAAGTCAGCAAGGCCTCCACAGCATTGAAGGCATCACTAGGGCTACAGGCATTGGGGGATTTCACAGGAATTTCAACTCCAGCCCTCATGCTTTCAAGGCAAGTGCTCATACCCACTGAGCCATCTCTACAGCCCTCACTTTGTTTTTCGAGGCAGGGTCTCTCCCTGGCCTGGAACTCATCAAACAGAGTAGGCTGGTTGGCCAGCGAGCCCCAAGAATCTGCCTGTATCCACCATCCCAGCCCTGAGATTACAAGCTCCAAGCACCAAACTCAATGCTTTCCTCAGGTTTGGAGGATTGAACTCGGGTCCCCACACTTGCACAACAAGCACTGTACCAACTAAACTATCTCCCCAGTCACTTCAAAGTATTTTGAAAATCAAAGTATAGTTAACTAATCAATAGAATAAAATGATTCTCTGATTTCACAAGGTTGGTGTAAAGAAGCCAAATAACTTGTACTTAGCCTCAGACCTGGCAGACAACACTCAATAAAATTTGGTTTCGTACTATAGCTCCCCTGGTTAACCACTATGGACAAGTTTCCTTCTCTTTTTCTCCTTCATTTTTTCAGTCTGAAAACCCCCCAAATTAAGGTGTTGGCAGGTTTGGTAACTGAGACCTCTCTCCAAGAGGCTGGCTGCCCCTTCATTATATGTGCGAATCGCTGAGTTAACTTTCCTACTCTATAAGTTGTGAACGATAACCAGGCATAGTGGTGCACACCTTTAATTCAGTACTCAGGAGGCAGAGGCAGGCAGATCTCTGTTGAGTTTGAGGCCAGCCTATCTATATAATGAGTTCCAGGACAGGCAGAGAGAAGATACATAGTGAAAACTTTTCTTGAAAAGAAAACAAAACAAAAAAGCTGTGCAGTGGTGGTGCACAGCTTTAAGCCCAGCACTTGGGAGACTGTGAGTTCGAAGCCAGCCTAGTCTACAGAGCCTAGTCGGTCAGGGGCTACACGGAGAAATCGTCTCGAAAAAACAAAAAAGGGGGGGGGGGTAGGCTGAGTCACTTCTGGTAGTACACATCTTTAATCTTTGCACTGGAAAGGCAAAAGCAGGAGATTTCAGTGAGTTTTAGGCCAGTCACAACTACATAATGAGACCGTCTTAAAAAAAAAAAAAAGAAAAAAAAAGAAAAGAAAAAAGCGAGAATTCAATATAAAAAATGGTCTACATAAAAACGTGAAATAGCCGGGCGGTGGTGGCGCACGCCTTTATCCCAACACTCAGGAGGCAGAGGCAGGCTGATCTCTGTGAGTTCGAGGCCAGCCTGGTCTACAAGAGCTAGTTCCAGGACAGGCTCTAAAGCTACAGAGAAACCCTGTCTCGAAAAACCAAAAACGTGAAATAATGTAAGAAAGTTGCCCAAAATATCATCTGGTTTTTAAAAAGTGGCTCTGTAAACGCCAACTGCTACTCTTGTCTGTTGTCTTGGAGTGCTAAGGAGGTTTAGAAAAATCAGCATCATAGGCATAGGGGGCGGGGCCAAAGTAACTGCCAATTTCAAATTTACCAGTAGACTGGGACTACCCTGAGAAATAATTTCTCGGGACAGCTCTCCTAGACGGTTTCAATATTTTTCGGTTTTCTTAGCACGAGAGGTGTCGTGAGCCTCTTCTTGATGGATGAAAACTAGAAAAGCGCACCGCGCGTTCGCACACAATTCCGAAGGGTCGACACACCTTTTAGCCAAACTCCTCCCCTCAAGAATCTGATCGGGGACCCCAGGTTATGAGCCCCAACTCTACCCTGGTCTGCCCCAATCCAGCCAGCTGCTACCACGCCTCAGAGTGTAACCAAAACAAAAGCTCAGGTCCGGCGCCCCACGGAGGCATCTCCCAGCTACAGGCGCACCCCTCTCCTGCGCTCGGCCAAACAAAGACCAAACTCGATCCTAAGACCAGGCCTGCAGAATGACGGGGTAGCAACGCGTGTCCCGGTCACCCCCAGATTCTATCACGGGTACTGGCCACTTCCAATGAAGAGTTCAGGCGACTATGATGCGGTATCAAATAAGATGCTTCCTGAACGTTCTCGGAATCGATGAAGGTGGGGGGAACACAAGAAATAAAGAGACTCTGCCAATTTTCCGTGGACACTCGGAACTCAAAGTAAACGTCCCAGAAAGGTGGCCGCAGTCCGAAGCCCACTGCCCAGTCAGACTAAGGAGAGCGCGGGACGGGGGCGCCAGGTACCGCGAAGACTCCTGGGAGCTGGAGTCCCTCATCCAACCTTCACCGCAATGCTACCAAACTGGATCAGAAAGCGGGACTACAACTCCCAGTAGCTAATGCGCCTCCGCGCTGCCTACAGCCCCACATCAAAAGAACTGGTCCAAAACTGCACGTCTAAACCCAGGCTTTCTCTTTACACTAAGCAACTATGTAATATGACTTAGTGAAGTAAACTTTCGAGCTTAGTGGTGGGGATCATCCTACCTTCTCCCGGAGTCAGAGCTCCGTCGGCTCGCGCTACCGCCATACTTGCCGCTTGCTAATGACACCAGGCAACCGTCCTCATCCGTTCTGTAGATCATGTAGTCGGCAGTGGGGCACTGCAAACTACAACTCCCAGGATGCACAGCACTCAACCGGCCCAATTGGCTGGGAGTGGGAATCACAGGCTTGAAAGTGAGTGGTAAGAAAGAGCTTTGGGGACCCTGATAGGTGAGCAAGCTGCCACCTTAGATGAATCATTTCACTCCAGGTCCAGGTGTTTGAGAAATTTGACACTTTTACCACCTGGCACACTATAAGGACGTTATTTAAAGTAAACAATTTGAGGGCTCATTGCTAGAAGTCTCTATGACAGCTACCCATTTTGACAATTCTGAATTAAGTTTAAAAGGTTTGAGATTAGCTATAGGAATGACTAAATATTTTGAGACAGTCAAGATGGATACATTGTATTTGAAATTTTAACTAACTAAATGGATTTAAAGCCACAGAAACAGACATTTTTGTTTTAAGGGGTGGTGCTTATACATTTATCAGAGCTTTTGACCAAGGAGTATATTTGATACATAAGTGCCCAGAACTTTTTATGGAGTATTCAAAAGAAGTTTAAAACAGCTTCCAAAGTCAAGAATACTTACGTTGCATGGTTGGAAGGGACAAACTTATCCCTTTTTGATTTAACTATGAACTCAGAAAGAGTGGAAATTACGATATTTGGGGAAAACTTGATAGGGACTTAAAAGGTAGCTCAATAGTTCAAAGGGAGCCCCCACTTTTCTCACCAACTTCTCTACATACTGACCTCTCTGCCCTTGCTGAACAGGTGCTCCAAAGACTGAACTTTCTGTTCAGGATCCAGTAATTAGGCTTCCAGCTCTTTGGGCTCACGATTCAAAAAGCATTTCCTCTGTCTTGGATTCCTTTTTTTCTTTTATATCATTTTTCTTAAAGGCCTATTCTGCTTCCCATTGGTTCAGTCTAAAGATAATTTTCTAATTCCGAAGAAGGAATAAAGATTCCCCCCTTTCTTTTAACCAGAGACCCCTTACTTAATAAATAGTCTTATTATTTTATATGTATAAATGTAAAGCAAGCCAGGTATGGTGACCCAAACTTTTAATCCCAGCAGTCTGGAGGCAGAGTCAAGCACATCTGTGAGTTAAAGGTCAGTGTGATCTATATAGTGAGTTCCAGGACAGCCAGAGCTATATAACAGAGAAACTGTATCAACAAACTGGAGGGCTAGAGATGGTTCAGATGTTAAGAGCACTGGCTATTTTCCCAGAGGTCCTGAGTTCGATTCCCAGAAACCACATGGTGGCATGCAACCATCTATGATGAGATCTGGTGACCTCTTCTGGCATGCAGGCAGGCACGCAGACAGTATACATAATAAATACATCTTTAAAAAAACAAACAAACAAAAAAAGGCAGCCGGAGCTACCATGTGGATGCTGGAAACCCAAACTAACTCCTCTGCAAGAGTTTCTTTTTAAACTGGAGATATTCTTTTTAAACTGGAGATTTCCTTTTTTTTTTTTTAAAGATCTTAACTACAGATGGCTGTGAGCCACCATGTGGTCGCTGAGAATTGAACTCAGGACCTGAAGAAGAATAGCCAGTGCTCTTAACCTCTGAGCCATCTCTTCAGTCCAAGATTTCCTTTTAAACTCCAGCAAAGGGGTTAAGAGCATTGCCTGCTCTTCCAAAGGTCCTGAGTTCAATTCCTAGCAACCACATGGTGGCTCACAACCATCTGTAATGAGGTCTGGTGCCCTCTTCTGGCCTGCAGGCAGACACACAGACAGAATATTGTATACATAATAAATAAATAAATATTAAAAAAATAATAAACTCCAGCAAAATCGTCTTTGAGCTTCCTTTTGGGTCTATTCCTAAATTCTTTCATTAATGAGACTAAGAACCCCAGGAGGAGACTTACATTTCTCTGTAACATGTGGTAGCTCTGACAGGACTTCCCAAAATATTCCAGTAACAGAAACAAGCCATAATTTTAGGACAGAACACCAGCAAACCCACACACCAAAGTAATATTTCCTCTCTTCACCTTGGCCAGAATCATAATGTTTTTGGTTCCTGTCCTAGATCAAGAGTAAAGATACCTAGGCTGGAGAGATGGCTCAGCAGTTAAGAGCACTGACTGCTCTTCCAAAGGACCTGGATTCAATTCCCAGCACCCACATGGCAGCTAACAACTGTCTGTAACTCCAAGATCTGACACCCTCACACAGACGTACATGCAGGCAAAACACCAATGCACATAAAATAAGAATAAATAAATGATTTAAAGAAAAAAAAAGAGTAGAGATGCCAGAAGAAAATTCTGGTTGCTGGGCCAGTTTCTTGATCTCTCTTCCTCTAAAAACGCATTCCTTCCTAGAGATATACCTGACAGTGTGACCAAAACTTCAATTCACAACTTATCCCTGCTGTCAAACCAGTCTGGAGTTGGACCTCTGGATTTGCATGGTGGGAATGGATGAGATCTAGTCTCTGATTTCATCTTGTCTCCTAAATAATTTTAGTATTTGAGGGGGAAATGTTATAGTCGTTTTAGGAGACATTGAAGATGCCAGAGCTTTGTTGAGACCTTTTGAGGGAAACCAATTTCATTCTGGTAAAAAGAATGGAAAACCTCTGTTCCTGAGTGGAGACGTGACATTCTGATTGCTCCAAACATAAGTATTTACTGTTACTTCCCTTATGAGTTAGTCTAACTGGGTGTGGGCGCACACACCTTTAATCCAGCACTTTGGGGCAGGGAACTCTCTGTAATTGTCACCTTCCACCACATGGCTGGTTGTCTGCAGGAGGCTGCTTACAAATGGCATGGTTTTCTCTTTCCCTCCTCTCTCTCTCTCCCTTCTCCCAATAGCTGCTCATAGTTACAGCTTACCTGCCCTGTTGTTTTTCTTTCTTCCAAAGGATAATAAAATTGTCCTCAAACTTCCAAGTCTGTCTTTAAATTATTTTACTTAGAAGATTAAGACAGTGGTGGTACACACCTTTAATCCCAGGCGGGCAGATCTCTGTGAGTTTGAGGTCAGGCTGGTCTACAGTGTGAGTACCAGGACAGCCAGAGCTGTTACACAGAGAAACCCTGTCTCAAAAAAAAAAAAAAAAAAAAAAGACTAAAACCCCAAAACAAGAAACCTCAGTAGCATTAGAACCCAAAATACATCCGAACCTTCCGTTCAAAATCACTAATATACTTTTGAAGATTTATTTTATTTTTATTTGTGTGTGTCTGTGTGTGTCTGTGTGTGTGTGTGTGTGTGTGTGTGTGTGTGTGTGTGTGTGTGTGCACAGAAAAGGACCTGCAATGTGGTTGTGAGCCACCAGTGTAGATTCTGGAAACCAAGCTCAGGCCCTCTACAGGTGGAGCCATCTCCCCAAACTCCTGTTTTATTTTGTCATTTTAAGGGTCTTCAGAGGGTACCCCACTTTAATTCTGAAAACTCTGACATTGCTGTCATAGCTGGAGTGGGCTCTAAGGAGTGTGGAGACGATTGTTGTAGGAGGGGTTAAAGAAAGGGCTGCAGATCTCTTCTATTTAACGAAGTCATTACTTAGAAAGGAGACCCAGCAATGTTAGCGGGTGAAGGTATTCAGGAGCCAGATTCTTCCACGTTTGCGATAGTAGCTGAGAGAGGGTTTTGTTGGATTCATCTGCCCTGCTTTCCTCAGGACAGGGCCCAAAGGTTCGATGGTCTCATATGGTCACGTGACCCAGCAGTTCTTCCTAGACACAGACACACCTTTGTGTTCCAGGTACCAATCTGACATTTAAACCAAACCTCTAACCTTTTAACTAAATTGCCTTCTTGCTTGAATATTAAGCCCTGCAATTTCTGAATGAATTGGAGAATTCTACTAATTAACTATGCAAATCTCTCAGAAAGGTAGTGTTTCTTGGCTGGCACAGACCTCTTTCACGTCTATCAGCAATGCACATTCGATCCCCACCTCTGTCTCTCAGTTTCATCTGCCCACTGTTACCGGAGTGATCCAAGCAAGACAATGCCCTCTATCACATCAACGTCCCCTCAGAAACTTCCCAAACATAAACTGGCCTCGCTCAACTTCTACCATTCGCTCCATCCGTTTTCATTCGGGGCTTTTCACTGCCGACTGACACAAAACACTTGTTGCTTAGAAAAGTGCAAGTACTCACATAACAAACATGAATTGAGAGGTGGAAGAGCTCAGGAAGAAGACTTGTATAGTCCAACAAGGCTCCGGAGAGGAATATATACAAAGTTCAGATAACACAGTTAGGAGACCAAGTCAACACAGGATTGGAATAGCATGTGTGTGTTTGGTTTTTTTGTTGTTGTTGTTGTTTTGTTTTGTTTTGTTTTTTTGAGAGAAGGATTTACTCTGCAGCCTAGGTTGGCCTCAAACTCACTAAAATAGTCCTGCCTCTGACTTCCAAGTGCTAGGATTACTGACATTGCCACCATGCCTGGAAACATTTGTGGCTACTGAAATTACTGTATTGGCAATTAGGATTGAACTGACCATGTCTGAAAGAAAAAGTCTAACTTCGCTGTTTGCAAGTTGTAAAGTAAGTTACTGATATGCACATGTAGAGGTCAAAGAGTGGTTGTGGGAACTGGTTTTATCCTACCCTGTGGGTGTGGGCAATGAAACTCAGGTGTGGCA